AACCTTGTAAATGACGTGCACATTTTCATGTGATCTCTTGAGAAACGTGTCAAGCATGATACTCAGCTACTGCCACATCAAAATCAGTATTTGATCATATGATATGTTCAATATACGTAAAACTAACTGGAGGTATTGTCATTTTGTGTCAGCTAATGAAGATGAACTGTGATGGTCATCTTGAAGTGGTTGACTCCTAACGGTTAACGAGCTGCAGATCTAAACCTACCATTCTGTTAAAATCCACTCAGTGGCTCACAACATCGAGGTGGGGGGTCATGGGAAAACTAGTTCAGATCTTAATAACTAACTTCAGGAATACTGAGTGTTGAATGGCAGCTGAAATTTACTGAAGAAGCTAAAAATGAGTCGTCAAAAACTAAAAAAAAGCAGAACATGAGCTAAAGCTCTAAGAAGCAGAACACTAGCTAAACGTTAAAACGAGCAAAGCACTAACTAAAAACTAAAAGAAGCTAAATGCTAGTAAAAGGCTTAAAGAACGTGGCAGCAAAACTTACGTGTAAATAAGCAAAAAAGCTGATGTGGCAACACATGTGGAGCATGAACAAGGAGACCTGGAGGAAAACAGAGCACGGTCCCTTGGGAGGACAATCCACGGACAGGGAAAAACAAACTGACCCAGAACTTATAGAGGACACTAACGAGACACAATGGTGAACACCTGGGTGATTGGGATTGAGGACAGGTGAGACAGGAGCTGGCAACATGAGGAAAGAAACACTGAGGAAGGCAGGACAGATGACACCAGAAAACACAACTAAAACAAAGATCCTCTCACTGCTGGAATATAGACGGAGGTGATGATTACTATTGTCAGGTCTCTAGGCAGATAAAAAGCTCTGCAAGCAACAGACATTGCTTCGATATTCTGAGAGCAGTGGGTGTTTATGATTTTGCTATTTGTGCACCAATCATTGTGAACACACACACATATGTATATATATATATATATATATATATATATATATACACACACACACACTGTCCTCTGCTCTTACTGGAGTCACCATTCCTGTCATAGCAGTGAGTGGTGCGTCCTGCAAGCTGTAATGTAGCACCCTGGATCAGTGGCTGCAACCAGGTCTATGTGAAGACTAACACAGCAATCACGTACAGAGGGGTTCGCTGCAATGCTTAGGTCCAGTTCATTGGTCATCAAAATGCTGGAGAGAGTCAGTTTTAGTGGATGTTTCCTTAGCCTGGGCTAACAGGCCCATTCTGTATCCCTGCTTTTGCTTGCATTCTCTGTGCGGCCAACGTCGCTTCCACAGACCGATAACAATCCAAGTAAAGTCTGGTAGTCTGGTTATGTCCAGCACAGTGGTGGGCATGATTCCACTAATCCGCTAATTGTGGAATTGAGTTTCCATTTAGCGGATGAGTGTTTTCACTAACTTTAAAATCCTTTGGCAGAATTAGCTTCTGCTAAATATAAATTTGGTAAATTCAAGTCCGCTAATTTCTTTAGAGACAGTTCTCTGCACTAAAAGTGTACAGGAGAATGATGATTCCATGGAGGGATGCTAAGCTATGCTATACAGAGATAAACAAAGCCAAGTGCCGTTCGGTGACATGATTACTATTGCAATGCCCTCATACCTACCGCAAACCATGTTTGACTCATGGTGTCAGTTTACAGCCACTAACAGAGACTTTAACATAAATGCAGCCAAACCAAACCAGAACAGGAAAATAACATGAAATACCCATTTTTACAATCACAAACATCGTATACAGTCACATAATTCACACACATAATTCCTAATCTGCACGTATGCTGAAGCTCATTGCAGGAGAAAAAAAAAGTTTCTGAAGGAACTGAAGAGAAAACTGCAATTTGGGGAGAGAAAAGTTTGTCAGAAACAAATTGCTAAATATGTATAGAACAATAAAACAAACTAAATAGTGTGAACGCTGATTCAGCATACAGTATATTATTGACCCATCATCCTTAGAAAACCAGCTTTGTTAACCTGACATGAGGTAAACAACTTTTACTTTGTTTAAAGTAAATACCTTTCTAAAATTGTCCTCTCTTGACTTCCATACCAAAGAATATGTGAAGGTGAAGACAGCGTCTCTAAATGGCTAAAAAAGCTAAAGATTACCGTTTGTTGAATTCTTTCAAATTTATTATTAGTTTGTTTTTAAGGCAAAAATATTTTTGACTCGTGTTTAACTCTGTTTGTGAGGACACGGGACAACTCACTCCAAATATCTGAATGAAGTTTCCTTTCAGAAAATTGATCATTCTTGGTCTTTAAAGTAGGAAAAATAATTATTCCTACAATGATCCATGAACTATCACCTCTGCCTTTAAATCTCTGAATAAAATGATTACTGTATTTTTCGCCCTATAAGTCACAGTTTTTTTTTTGCATAATTTGCATGCCCTGCACTTATACGCCAAATCGACGTATTTATGGATTTTTTCCCATATTTAAAAACCAATTTTTGGCTGAGATATGACCGTTTTCATTCATTCTGAATGAAAATATTGAACACTACCATTTTCAGCCACAAGATGGCACTCGAGTAGTATGGCATGCCGTTGTGTCATGTAATAGGTAAAAGTGGCTATTAATGATACAATCAGCTTGCCACAGTCTGCCACTGTCGTCTGCCTGGAGCAACCGTCAAATCAGCTTCACTTCGCTGCACCGCGCCGACAAAATACAGCTGAATTGACCATTAAAGTGCATTTATTAAGTAAAAGTTAGACTGAGACACACTTTTACAATAATGTTGAGCAAACAAATATTTGTTTTTAGGAGTTTATCTTGTTAAATTTAGAAGAAATGAACAGAGGCTTGTCCCTCTGCGTGTTCATGTTTCTGCGTATCGGCTTTTGAAAATGCAGCTGATTTGACTGTCAAAGTGCATTTATCAAACAAAAGTTAGACTGAGACACACCTTCACTATAATTGTGGGCAAACAAATAATTGTTTTTAAGTGTTAATATTGTTAAATTATTGTTAAAGTCCTCCTGTGCACGCTCCTGCGACTGCCAATTGGCAGCCCATTGATTTTTGGCACAACACTAGTCCACAATTCCAGGTTGTCAGCGGTGACGTGTAACAAACGCGACACGCCAGCGGTAACACATAATAGATACGACATATACGGCGAAGCGACGTATACGGCGAAGCGACGTATACGGCGAAGCGACGTATTCATGGATTTCTCCACTTTATTAGACATATTTGGACTGATGCGACTTATAGTGCGGTGCAAAGTTTACGGTGGAAAATACAGTAATATTTACAACAAAAAAGTTAAATCATGACATCTGGATAGGTTTCTTTAAGTGAGAAACATTTTGTCCCCCATCCAGAGGACTTCCTCAGTCTACCAACCTGCCAAGCAGATCTGTGACTGTCCCATAGGTAGCCTTCACTGCTGTGTTTCAAGCCAACCTCTTATTGGAATCTTAAAAGAAGGATTTTAACGTGCAAAACACACCCATCCAAAACAGTCAATCATCATGTACAACAATCAAATGTTTGTGAATAATATTTACAACAAAAACTCAAAAAGCAGCCTAGTGTTTGAGTGAAGCCTGCAGAACTAAAAGCTTTCTGATTAAAAGCCCCCCTTCAGGAGATGAAAAGCCCTCTTTGTTGCTCTCATTAATATAATTGCACGCTGGCATTTTGAGTTTGTGCAGAAAGACGAGGGTTTTGACATGTTTCTCTCTGACGGGGACGTGCTCTTCTGTTTTACAACATCTCACAGGGAAAACAAGATGGAAATTCATGTTGATCAAACAGGCTTATTTCTTAGCTGCAGTCCTTACAACTGAATAATAATCATGAATGGACCTTGAATTAATGGGATTTTGATGTTTCTGTCCAAAACAAAATAACACACTGCACATGAAAAGGTTTTTGTAAAGACACCAATAAACCATGTTACATTTTCCTGAATATTTTAGTTAAATTAAAGCACAATATATTCATGACAGTAAGAATTTTGCTCTGTTTTAATGCAGAAAAAGATTTAGATGTTGTAAGGAAGTTGATAAAACTCATTTTCTTGTGACAAGATAAAAAATAACTAAACTTATTGAAAACATTGTATCCCAGTTTTCTCTAAAACATGAAATTATCTGACTATACAGACAAGAATCTTCATTTCTTTAATAACTAGAGATGCACCAATCCGAAACCCATATCGATATCGAACACGTCTGGATCGGGTATCGGTGACAATATGACTGATCCATGACTGGGCAGATCTATTCACTCTAGTTCTATGCTTTGTGCTCTGAGTGACGACGCGCGCTAGCGTACTGACTGAACAAATTAAAGTTGTGTTGTTTTTACATGATTAACCAAGCTTGTGGTGCAGTTTTCAATAAATTTGTAATTCAGTACATTCATGTCTGCGTTTAACAGAACAAATGTTTTAAGTTAATTCAGAACTGGTAAGCTCAAACATCCAGGTAGAAAACAAAAATGGCTATATCATGTCATCTGGACCTGTTTCAGAAACGGGTCCAGATGACATGATTTAGCCATTTTTGTTAACACAGCACTGTTTTTCTGTACCAGAGAGATATCGGATCGGTATCAACAGATACAGAAAAACATATATTGGTATCGGATCGGAAGTGACAC